GCCGCACACCATTCTGAGCGGTCCACACAAGTGAGGTTCAGAGAGTATGATATTTAGGCAAAAAGAGCAATATGGCCGCAATACGCTTTGTGCGGTCCGCACTGGGATCAATGCGGACACACTCGATTTAGTGCGGTCCGCAGTAAGAAGGATCAGAGAGTTGCCAGTTCCGAGTTTCAAGCCAATGCGGTACGCGCTCCATTTCATGCGGACCGCACTAGAAGCCTCCGGTCGCACTCCATTCTGTGCGGTCCGCATTGCCTGAGTTCAGAGAGATGGATTTTTATGTCAAGAGCCTTAGTGCGGGCGCACGTGATTTTGTGCGGTCCGCACTAGCCCCACATGCTTATTTTTGTCCAGATTTTTTAGCTTAGTACAAATAGCTTCTTTTCCTATTTTTAGGCCATCAGATAGTTTTAGCTAAGAGCTGCGCTCGTGGGTTCGAATATTTTAGCTATTTTGGGCAATTTTATCTACATTTCAACATCGAATCTTCTTGTTTATCTTAGTAATTAATTAATATGAGTTGTTCTTCATCTATTTCTTGCTTTTCTTCTTTAATTATGAGTGGCTAAACCCATAGGCTAGGGCCTAGTGTGGGCAATTCGGGGGTTTTGTGTTTTAGGGCTAGATTGACTATGGGTGTTTGATATTTGGGCTAATTTCATGTTTAATTACTGAATTAGTGGTTGCAAACACTAGTTTGTGTTTAGTTGACCTAATCTCTTCTTGAGAAAGAGAGCTTGAGTCTCTGAAATTGGTCCAACAAGGAATTGGGGCGTACTCAAGAGATTGATAGCTCCAATTAAAGGGTTAAACCTCGAGAGAGTAATACCCGACTTGAACCTTGATTGCTTGTGCAAATTTGCATACCCAATTGGTCTTGAGAAAGTCAATTCGGGCAAAATCACTTGAACCACCGAGAGGTGTAGAGTGGGTAAAATCGTGTAACGGTTATATCATACTCCCCAAATATATCAATCATGCCTTAGACTCAAGTATCCGTCAATTGACCACCTAGGCGAAAGTCACTACCCTAGTGCCTTTTAAACCATTTGAACAACCTGCAGCATTTTACTCTTAGCTTATTCTAGTTTTATTTACCATTGTAGTTTGATAAAAGTAGAAGTAAAACAAAAACCCAAAAATGTTTAGAAGTGTAATTTGGAACACATACACGACTCCAAACTAGATAGATACCCGACTCCAACTTCTAGCTCTCTGTGAAAATCGACCCGACCCTAAATCGGGTAAAAGCTGCTTCGACCCTCTCTCGCAACTCAATAGTAGTGCAGGGTAGGCTTCGATCAGAGTCCAACCATACCAAATTTACCAAAATCCGATACTAATTCGTCACTCAAATCACCAAATTAGGCTCTCCAAATCCCTATCCTCTAACTCCCAAAATTACACCTAAAAAATACACAAATTATGTGGGGAATTCAATGGGAAAACATAATTATTGGATAAAAATAACCACAAGTGTCTTAGCTCAAGAAATCCCTCGAAAATCCTCTCAAAAATCGCCTAATCCTGAGCTTGAAATGTCCATAATGATGAAAATCACGAAACCCTCGAAATTAATACTCTGCCCAGTGCTTTCGCACCTGCGGCCTCGCAGGTGCAAGAAATCTCCCGCATCTGCGGTTTGCCAAGATTCCACTGCCTCCGCTTCCGTGATCACCCACATACAGGTGCGTGCCTGCACCTGTGGAAATTCTTCCGCATCTGTGCTCCATTGTCCCCTAATCAAATCCCGCTTCTGCGCTCCATTTGTCACACATGCGATGTCACGACTCGGATTTCCCACCCTCAGGAGTCATGATAGAACCTAAACTTGTCACGACCCGGATTTCCCACTCTCGGGAGTCGTGATGGCGCCTACTCGTGAAAGCTAGGCAAACCGAGTGTTATAAATTTATTACCCTTGTTATTAAGAATTTTCAATAGTTCAATATAATAGGAGATCAAACAGCGGAATAATTAAAATAACCAGAAATGCGGAAGACGAAAACTTAATAGTTTAACCAAACATTTCTACATGAATCCGAAATACAACACTACCTAGAATTTGATGTCATAAAGTCACGGACCATCTACGAATACTACAAATAAAGTCTGAATAAAAATACATGAATTTGTCTCTGAATAAGTAAAAACAGAAGGAAATGATAGAAGGAGACGCCAAGTCCTGCAGACACCTGCAGGACTACCTCGAGTCGCCTGTTGGACTGAAGACAACAACCTCACTGCGGTCCAAAAGCTACAGCTCCGGGATCTACACATAGTGTAGAGTGTAGTATCAGCACAACCAACCTCAAGTGTTGGTAAGTGTCTAGCCTAACCCCGGCGAAGTAGTGACGAGGCTAGGACCAGACTACCAAATAAACCTGTGCAGTTAAATCATATGCATCGGAAAAATAAAAGCAGATATTTATAGTTAAAGATAGGAGGGGGAAAGCATGCTGCGGGGAGTATAAGAAAAGAACAGAATACCAAAGAGGAATGTAAAGAACCCAAAATTCAATTACTAACAATGATAAGGAAAACAAACACAGTATTCACTTTCATTTCTTCCTTGTTGCATGCGTGCAACCCGATCCCATTTAAAATATTACCGTGGCGACGTGCCACCCGATCCTATTTTATATATCTTGTTGCAGGCATGCAACCCGACCCTATTTTATATATCTTGTTCAGGCGTGCAACCCGACCCCATTTCATAAATCATCGTGGCAGTGTGCCACCCGATCCCATTTCATATATCTTGTTGCAGGCATGCAACCCAATCCCATTTGATATATCTTGTTGCAGGCGTGCAATCCAATCCCGTTTCATATATCACCGTGGTGGCGTGCCACCCGATCCTATTTCATATATCTTGTTGCAGGCGTGCAACCCGATCCCTTTTCAAATATCACTGTGGCGGCGTGCCACCCGATCCAATTTACAATTCAACACCAATCATACAAGAATCCCGGCAAGGGAACAAGAGTATAACAACAACATCCCGGCAAGGGAGACAATATCATAAACAATAACATCCCAGCACGGGAAACAATATCATAAATAATAACATCACGGCAAGGGAAACGATATCATAAACAATAACATCCCAGCACGGGAAACAATATCATAAATAATAACATCACGGCAAGGGAAACGATATCATAAACAATAACATCCCGGCAAGGGATCTAACAATGATAATCAACATATTAAGCATGAACAAATCACAACAGAGTCACAACAATTACAATACGAGACTCACGGGCATGCTTGACACCGATGTATAGATACTTGTCACCATACCTATACGTCGTACTCCACAATTAACACATAGTAAATAAGACACAATTCCTAATCCTTCAAGCTAAGGTTAGACCAAACACTTACCTCGATGCCACAAACACAATTCAAGCCTCAACTACCGCTTTACCTCTTGTTTCCACCACCGATTCGTTTGTATCTAGCCACAATTTACTTAATTATATCAATAAATGCTAAATGAATCAATTCTAATACATGAAAATAAGTTTTCCAATGATTTCTCCAAAAAGTCAAAAATCGACCCGGGGCCCACATGGTCAAAACCCGAGGTTCGAACTAAAACCCAATTACACATTCACCTATTCACCCAAATATATAATTTGTTTTGAAATTGGACCTCAAATCTAGGTCCAAATCCCCAAAATTTGAAAAACCTAAGTTCTACCCAAAACACCTAATTCTCCCCATGAAAACCCTTGATTTTGAGTTGAAATCATGTGAAAAGATGTTAAATATTAAAGAAAATGAGTTAAAAATGACTAACAATCGATTTGGAAGAGTAGTTGCCTTTGAAAAATCGTCCAAAGATGTTTAGGTAATGAGAAAGTTTGAAAAATAAGGAATTTTTGGAAAGTTTGAAAAATAAAGAATTTTTGGCTAAGTTATAATTTGCACGGGTACAGATATCGCATTTGCGAAGTCAGGTTCGCAATGCGAACTCGCAAATGCGGCCTAGGCTTCGCAAATGTGAAGGTAGGGCGAATCGTGCTTTCTTCGCAATTGTGAATAGTTGTTCGCATTTGCGGTCCCTGTTGAAGTCGAATTTGCGACATAAGCCTCGCAAATGCGAGGGTTCCTGCCCCAGCCCATCATCGCAATTGCGATGGGTCTTTCGCAAATGCGAGCTCAAAATTGCGAGCCAAGCTTCGCAGCAATTGCGAAGCCTGCAGACCTGCAACACACAACAGTTGAAAATCTGAAACTTCCTAAGTTCAAAACACTCCGTGGCCTATCCAAAACTCACCCGAACCCTCAGGGCTCCAAACCAAACATGCATGCAAGTCCAAAAACATCATACGGACTTACTCGTGCGATCAAATCATCAAAATAATATCAATAACTATGAATTTAGCATCAAAATCAAAGAAAAATATCATGAACTCTTAAGTTCCATAACAACCGAGGTCCGATTCACGTCATTTCAAGTCCATTTCTTACCAAATTTTACAGGCTCAACCTAAATACCATATAAGATCTGTACCGAGCTCCGGAACCAAAATACGGGCCCGATACCATCAAATTCAAACTCATTTAGATTGCTGAAAACTCTTATAATTTCAGTTAAACAATTTTCTTCAAAAATTCATTTCTCGGGCTTGGGACCTCGGAATTCAATTCCGGGCATACGCCCAAGTCACATATTTTTCTACGGACCCTCCGGGACCGTGAAATCACGAGTCAGGGTCCGTTTACCCAAAATATTGACCGAAGTCAACTTAAATTTATTTTAAAAGCAAAATTTACCATTTTTCATAGATTTTCACATAATGTCTTTCCGGATACACGCCCAGACTGCACACACAAATTAAGGTGAGACAAAAGGGAGGTTTTAAGGCCTCGGGACACATAATTTATTTCCAAAATAAGTGATGACCTTTTGGGTCATCACATGCGACTACTGCTCACTCAACTCCAGGCCGCATCTATGCTTTCCCCGCTCACACCTGCGATCACCACTTTGCAGGGGCAATTGCACCAGAGCTGGTGAGCTTCAGCAATCTCTCAACTTCCAAACTTGATCCGTTAACTATCCGAACTCCTCCTGAGGCCGCTGGGACCTCAAACAATTATATGAATGAGTCCTAAAAAGCGATATGAACTTAGTCGAGCCCTCAAATCACATCAAACAATGTTAAAACCATGAATCGCATATCAATTCAAGCCTAATGAACTTTTGAACTTCTAACCTCTACCTTCAATGCCGAAACCTATCAAATCTTGTCCGATTGACCTCAAATTTTGCACATAAGCCACAAATGACACCATGGACCTACTCCAGCTTTCGGTACCCCAATCCGAGCCCGGTAACCATAAAGTCCACTCTCGGTCAAATTTCTAAATTTCCAACTTTTGCCATTTCAAGCCTTAATTAACCACGGACCCCCAAATCACTATCCGGACACGCTCCTATGTCCAAAATACTCAACGGAGCTAACGGAACCATCAAAACTCCATTACATAGTCGTTTACTCATAATTCAATATCCGGTCAACCTTTTCAACTAAAGTTTCCAACCTTGAGACTAAGTGTCTCAACTCATTCCGAAACCTCTCCTGACTCGAACCAACTACCCCGACAAGTCACATCCCAACAATTAAGCAGAGAATGGGCAGTAAATGGGGGAATGGGGCTACAACTCTCAAAACGACCAGCCAGGTCACATTAACGTGGTAGATATTTTCATGGTACAACATGTCCAAAGCTAAAAAGGCAAAAAAGAATCCCGATGAACTGTTTGCGTGATTTAAATTGACATTCAAAATATTTTTATTATCAAAATTTAACATGTTGCTACACTAACTTTCCCTCTCATCTTCAGTAGTTGTATTCAATGGAGTAGATGAAGGCGTCGAAAATCTTGATATAACATATTGGAATTTCATCATGTTACGTTGTTGCTGCCGTTGGATTGAAAAGTCGATGCATCGGACGGCGAAGGATCCATGACAGATTGATCTGGCTCATAGTAACCCTAGTTTTGCCAATCATTTACTAGTTGGTAATTTTGTGAGCTATAGCTTGAAATATTTAATGAAAATTGCTCTAAGTTTACTTGTTGCATTGGTTGAGCTTCACTAGAAAACGGAATACATGGAATATCTCGAGTAGCAGTTTGAGTTTGACTAAGTTGGACTAACGATGACCGTTGACTTTTTTGGATATTCTTTTGATCTACGGATTCGGGTGGTTTCACTGTATATTGTGATGATAAAAGAAAAGTGGATAATATTTTCAAGACTTCTCGATTTACCATAGGTTGCAATCCCATCAATCTTGAAATATTGACTTGAGATGAATTATAAGAATTTAGGATGGAGGAAAAATCAAGAAGATCAAGACGAGGAGAGTGTGTCACAGGGTCAATTCCCATTCTCATAAGCTTTTTTCTAATATAAGTATTCCAATAATTCTTGATTTCATTATCTGTCCTTCCAGGCAAGCTAGCAGCAATTGCTGACCACCTACGGTAAAAAGAAATTTTGATAAAAGTAAGTAAAACAAACTACCAAAGATAGACATAGAACTCTGGAATCGAGTAACTTATGTATATTAAAGGAATTTTTACATTATTAATGCAATTTAACATATTATATATAGCAGGCTATCCACTTTATTTTTAGCCACAAATTCTACTAATTATCAGCCGTTACTTATAGTTATTTTTTAGGTTACCTGATAATATAAAACATCGTTTTCAATTAATGTTTAGAAGTTAAAATATGTAAAATATATGACTCAAGTAAGTCCAAAGACATAGAGAACAAGAAAAAAGTTCATATATACTACTTTCTATGATTAAACAAACAACTTACTTGTTGCCTAATATACTATGAAGTTGAATGATTGTTTCCTCTTCTTCAAAAGAGAATTTTCCCCTTTTAATATCTGGCCTTAGATAGTTGGTCCAACGTAGCCTGCAACTCTTTCCACACCTTTGAAGCCCTAAAGTTTAAAGAAAATTTATTACTTCATGCATGCAAAAGTTTAAGAATGATTAATGAATTGGAGAGAAAAGAGAAAGAAAAAGGGCAGTCCGATTCACAAAGCATCTAGTCTTTATGCATGATTCGGAGAAGGCCCGCACCTTAAGAGGTATGATGTTAAATACAACCAATCGTCAGTGGCGAAGCCAGGAATATCATTTAGGGTGTTTAAACTTGAAATAAGAAAAAAAAATCTCTGATAAAGGGTGTTCAATATATGTTATATACCATTAAAATCAAAAAATTTTCTTATATATACAGTGTAATTTTTCGACCAAGAGCGGTCAATTGACCACCTATGTAGCTTCTTCACTGTCTACCGTAATACAAACATTAGTGGTTGTTTCCACTGCTCGAACATGTGACCAATAGGTACATAGAATGAACTAAATAGAGAAAATGTAATGAAAAATACCAGCATTTTTGGGAAGTAACCTCCAATTTCCACAACCATGCTTTTGAATGTAATCAATGAGCTTTTGATCTTCTTCTGAGGTCCATGGACCCTTCTTAAGTCCATTTTTTTCACAGCAAGGAATTCTTCCCATGTTGAGTAGTTTTAGTGTTTCTTCTTTAAGATTTATTGTGTACAAAATAAAATAAAATTATAAGACAGTGCAATAGAGAGATTTATTCTGTAATGGAAAGTATTAATTTGGGTATATATAGGGTAAGAAAAAAGGAAGAAAACAAAGGGAAGTCAAAGGGATTCGGTACCGTCCTTTGTTTATCACTATGAAGTTATGACTACGTGTCCATATTCTTTTTGAGACAATGAGAATTAATCAGCCATCTAGAGAATAGTCTTTGTGTCAATTTTCCTTTGAGAAAAAGAAAAATAAGTACCTTACTAATAGATAATGAATTAAAATTTTATATACAGACTTTGACACCCTAGGTGAATTCTACATTGACAAAATACGGAAGAGATGTTAGGTACATAAGTAAATATATCTTAGACCCTAGTGACGCATTTTAAAGTCGTGCGGGCCTATGTCCAAAACGGACAATATAACTAGTAGGTTGGGCTGTTATACAGATAGTATAAAAAATACAACTTTAAGTTCTATGAATTAATGATATTAAAAATATATTTATACAATTGGATGGATAACTTAAAATATAAGTATACGTAACTCTCTTTAATTGTGATGACCCGATAGGTCATCTTATGTTTTTGAACCTAATTTTGCGCTTCAAAGCCATAAAAATCTTATTTTAACCCTCCTGTATTTGCGTGCACAGTCCGGACGTGTTTTCGGAAAGCTTTTATATTAAAAACTGTGAAAAATATGAAATTCTGCTTTGGAAACCATTTGAGTTGACTTTGGTCAATATTTTGAACAAATAGATCCGAATTCATATTTTGACGGTCCTGGGAGGTCCGTATCGTGATTTGAAACTTGAGCGTATGCCGAGATCGAATTCGAAAGTCTCTAGCCCGAGTTATCGGACCTTATTGAAATTTGAAAGTTAAAGGCTTAATGAATTTGAAATGTTTGACCAATGGTTGACTTTTTGGATATTAGGTCCGCATTTTGATTTCGGAATCCAGTATAAATCCAATACCATATTTATGACTTGTCTGTAAAATTTGGTGATAAACGGAATTGGTTTGACGTGATTTAGACGCCCGGTTGTGAAAATAGAAGTTTCAAAGTTTTCTTGAAAATTTCAATTGATTTGGTGCGCAATTCATAGTTCTAGGTGTTATTTTGGCGATTTGATCGCGCAAGCAAGTTCATATGATATTTTTAGACTTGTGTGAACTTTTGGTTTAGAGCACCGAGGGTTCGAGTGAGTTTCGGATAGACTATGAAGTAAAAAATTGGACTTAGAACATTGCTGATATTTCCAGTTCTGGTGCAGCCCTCTGATCTCGCATTTACGAAATCACATTTGCAACCTTTGAGGGTTTCACATTTGCGAGCTACTCCTCGCATTTGCGAAGAGTAGCTGGGCCACATAGAGTTTGCATTTGCGAAACATTCTTAGCATTTGCAAAGTGAGTCAGGAGAAGGCAATGATCACGCAAATGCGATCATATGGTCGCAATTGCAGAAGGTCAGGTTCGCATTTGCAAATTGTTCTTCGCATTTGCGAAGAAAGCAGGGGTGTGAGGATCTTCACATTTGCAGGGTTCGCATTTGCGAACCCCATGTCGCAAATACGACACCTGCAACTGATCAAAACTTGACTTAGATGGGATTTTTGGTTCATTCTTCAAATTTTCAAACTCAAGAACCCTAGAGGCGATTTTCCAACGAATATTTCTTTCCCAAATCATTGGTAAATGATTCTAAACTAGTTTCTTTCAATCTTTCACTACTTTTTCTAAGATTTCAACTTAAAATCTAGAGTTTTTATGGTGGAAATTGGGGATTTTGGGTAGAATTAGGAATTTTTGTAAATTGGGAATATAGCCCTCAAATTGAGGTCGGATTCCAAAATAAATTATATAATGGGTAATCGGGTTTTGGTCCGAATTTTGGGTTTGGATCAACGGGCCCGAGTGTTGACTTTTTTAATAATGGCCTAAATTGAATTCTTTACAATTGTGGGTAGTTCCTAAGGCTTAATTTGAATCGTTTGGCTTGGTAAATTGCTAGATTCTATTGGTTCGAGGCTTGTTTGAAAGATAAAGTGGTAGTTGAGCTTTGAGTTTGGTCTTTGGAGCGAGGTAAGTGTCGTGGTTAATTTTGACTTGAGGGAATATGTCTTATATGTCTATTTTCTACATGTTTAGATATTGGGTACAACGTATATGTGAGGTGATGAGTAATTATGCATTGTTGTCGGTTTAAAGCATGCGGGTGAGACTTAGTTCCTTGTAATTATTGTTTTTCTTTGATCGTGATATTCATGTTTAGACTAGTATTGTTAAATTGATAGTTCTTATCATGTTTATGGATTTTTTTTGTGATAATTGAGTATTGATTTCAAAGATTAGGTTGGTATTGTGGAGCCAAAAGTTGAAGTAAGGCTTGTTCTCCTTATTTTGTCTCTCTGTTGTTATTTGTTCATTGCTTTATGGTAAGGGAGAGTGTTAGTGCACGAAGGGTGATGCCATGCCGTATTGTGAGTGTTAATGCACAAAGGGTGATGCCATGCCATATTGTGAGTGTTAATGCACGAAGGGTGATGTGGAGCCATGTTATGAGAGATAATGCACGAAGGATGATGCCATACCGTTTCTGTTGATTTATATGGTGAGGTTGAGAGTAAGCGCACGAAGGGTGATTCCGTGCACTTTTTCTTACTGTGTTTAGTTGTTTTCTTTGGTGTAAGGCATATTGGCTGTTATAATTATCATTGTTGCTGTGATTCTTTTATCGTATATTCCCCTCAGCATGATCCCCTCCCGATATTACTTGTCTAGCTTTTATTTCCTGTTATTTGTACATATACTGTTAGCTGTACATGTTCATTATGCAGGTGCCTTATCATAGCCTCGTTACTACTTGGTCGAGGTTAGGCTCGACACTTACCAGTACATGGGGTCGGTTGTACTGATACTACACTCTGCACTTCTGTACAGATTTTGGTACCGGCCCTAGCTGATCGTGAGGTTAACAACTGGATTTGCTCGTCAGGAGGACCAAGGTAGATTTGATGGCGTCCGCAGACCCTGGAGTTCCTTCCTAGTCTCAGTATTTTACTGTTTCTTTTCTTTCAGAACAATGTATTTTCTTTCAGACTCGTTTGTAGTAAATCGTAGTAGCTCGTGAGTTGTGACTCCAGATCCTAAATGTATCAGATGTTATGTGTTTTATGTTATTCCGCAAATCACTTTTAACTTCTGTTTAGCTTAATTGTTCCTGTATTGAAATTGGCTAAAGTTGACTTAAGAATCCTATAACGTTGGCTTGCCTAGCAAGTGAAATGTTAGGCACTACTACGGTCCCGAAGGTGAGAATTTTGGGTCGTGACATTAATAATATTGGTTGGTAACTTAGAATAAATAGTAAGTGACTTGTTAAAATGAAAAATTCAAAAGTTTGATTACCGGCCTGAAAACTTGATACAATTTTAGGTGATCGCGAGGCCATTTTGCCTAACATTAAAACAAAAAAACCTTATTAGCAAACAAGAAATTTAGAGAGTGTAGCCTATATATTTGATATTCTCTGAAATGTCAATGCAAACAGCCCCTTCAAGGTACATGGAAAACGTGAAGTAATTGCCTTAAGATAGTTGAATCCGTGAGGTTGTTATTTTCAAGAATTATCACCGCCAAAGATCTGAAAATATCAGCAAAAAGAGACAATGAAGCATATTCATTATGGTCAAATATGCAACAATTAGGGTTTATTAATGAAATGGACACTTCAGATCGTGGAATTAAAGATGCAAATAATGTAGAAAATAGTTATACGAAGTCGTGCCTATCAGTTTTTATACCTTACTTTATGATAACTAGTATCCACGTACCTCTAAACTTTTAATTATTTATTGCATGTGTGTATATGGCAATTGCGGAGCTATATAGTTTTAAAAGAAAATACCAGTTATGTTCATTTATAAGTAGTTTATTATAAAAAATAATTAATTCATAAAATATTATTAATATTAGCCAATTAGTTATTTGTAGCCAACAAAAGGTCAAAATTTTGTTTTCTTTTGAGTGGATGTTATTAAAATAGATTGGGTACACTTTAAGGAGTTTGAATATCAATTTTGGGATGATTTGATAGAGTTTTGAGGTGGTTTGAATTGAAAATTCGAAGTAGAAGATAAACATAAAAAAATGATAGGTGTATCACACTGTGTATCACTTGTGTATCACATATGTATCATATTTGTATCACATGTATATCCATGTATATCTGCGTGTGAGATACATGCGTGATACATGTGTCCAGAAGAATTTTTTGAACTCGATTTTAACTACGAATTTTGATACCAAATCAGTCCAAATCACATACAATCTTCCTCAAATTTTGTATATTGACTCATCTATATGTTTTCAGTAAATCTCAACCATAACCATTGAAAAGAAGTCATTTTTTGCCTAGATTTTTAGAATCTTGTATATATATAAATTTTTGTATTTCATCACTTTATTTGCTACCTCTTCCATGAAATTTCCTTTCCGTCTTACATCTAATGTTGCTAATCACACTTAAAAATATGAAAGGAGATCTTTGTGTGTGATTCTTGGAGAGAAAGAACCTGATTTCTTTGAGTTTTCAATTTTCATATGTGCTTGGCTAGTTTTGGTAAGTATATGATTAATGGTTAGATGTTGGTAAGTTGAGATTTTTTTGGGAATATTTCTGTAAAATTTCATAGTTTTAAGGGGTGTCAATTAACAAATCTTCGCTGGAAAATTATAGTGTTTAAATAGGTAAGAAATTATTTTTGTTAGTATTCTATATTCGAAAATATATTCAAAAATTAGAAACAATGTAAAATCAGAAATGTAAAAGAACATAATTAATCCGAGCATACTAAATTCACAGTGTTTCCTTAAGGAACTTAATCCCCTCCTAGTACCCCAGGGTTGGGATTATTTTCTCTCAGGATAGAACGGATCACCTCACTGGTG